CTTGGAAGAAATCGCCACAGAATGAGAGCCGAAATCGACAACATCAGCTCAAGTGTAGATCTAGAGCCTGGATCAGAGCCTCTAGAAACTCAGAATAACATAATCAATGACACTTGTTAATAATATCAAATATCATTGTCTCCGGAAACTGAATCAACAACCATTCCTCACCAATTTATGAAGAAATGAATATGATGTGGATCACCTTCGGGGTAAACACAAGAAACTTTGACAATGAAAAGCAGCCATATCAAGTAGATGACAAGATCTGTAACTCTATGATCATTGAAACGCAAGGCACGAAGAGTTGCCTCCCTGGGTAAACGGAAAGGTAACGCCTACTCCGCTTGAGGTCATTGAGTACCGTAATCAAGCTCGCACTGCTGGTCGTACCAAAGTGCACTCAGTTTATATCACACTTTAATTTAAGGTAAAAGAGAGAGAGAGAGAGAGAGAGAGAGAGAGAGAGAGAGAGAGAGAGAGACAGAGACAGAGACAGAGACAGAGACAGAGACAGAGAGACAGAGAGAGAAGGAGAGAGAGAGACAGAGAGAGACAGAGACAGAGAGACAGAGAGAGACAGAGAAACCAATATATGTAAAAAAAAAAAAATATATATATAGATCTATATATATACTCTGTCACATTTTTAAGTATACACATTTTGAAGCTCAATAAAACAAAATCTATTCCTCCAATTACTTTCAAATTTACACTCTGATTACGTGATATACCTGTCGCTGGTGAGCTGTTTTCTGATTTCGGAACGCGCCAGTGGTTTTGTAACTGCCTGCGTGTTACATGTTTTGTCTTTTTTTAGAATTACTCATGATACGGCAATGATTTGTTTAAAAAAGAAGCTCACATCAAAGCTTTGTCATTTTTGTAACAATTCGCCACTGATAAAACTTCTTAAGTTTACGTTTCATCATGCCACGCCCAAAGAGAAAATGTGCAAAATCAGCTTGTTGGAATGATTCGCGGGGGTGCCTCGGTATCCACTGTTGCGAGATATTTTAATGTAACAAGAAGACCTGTGTACACAACAAAGGATTGTGAGTAAGCAACAAAATCAGGAAAGGATCGGCACTGTCAACGTGGGAGAAGAAAAACTACTCCAAGAGAGGATTTTTTATACACCTGTCGCATCTACGGAATCGTTTCAAAACGGCAAGACAAACCAGAGATGAGTTGAACAACATGCAACAACACCAGAGCCTCAGACACTTTCTCAACTTGAGAGAGCATCGCATAAAGAGTGGAATAACATCCCTCATCAGGCAGTGTAGCGATTGATTGATTCAAGGCGGCGACGATGTCAGGCCGTCATCAACGCTACTGATCGTGTTAGGCCTACTTTTGTAGACCACCCCCACACTCTTGTAAGTCGTCAATAAACCTGTTATGTTAACATTTCGTATTGTTGTTGTTGTTTTCGTTTTTCAAATTGATTGAATTCGTATTCCTCAAATGTTAAAGAATATCGACCCTTTGTGAAACTAACTATTTTAATTCTAACACAGTGTAAATTAAAAATGTGACAGAGTATATATATTATTAAAAAATCAGAGAGATAATTCTCTTTAACTGAATCATCATCCAGTGCTAGATCGGCGATCATGGTTTTCTATTCATTCCTTCGCTCTGATGCTCTTAACCCTTTCGGTGCGCCCTGGGGTCATTTTGTACCCCCGGGGTTGTATTCTTCATATTAAGGAATACTTTTAGTGCGAAGATCTTTTTGAAACTTTCAGTATTTCTCAAAAAAATAATTTTGACAGACTGCTATGCAAAGCGTACGAATAGGATTAACGAGTAAGTTTCCTCTTTGGAAAGTGGTGGCACAGAGTTCCCCATGTCGTATGGATACGGTAGTAAAACACGACGTATGGATAGGGTTAAAAAAGCTACGTTTCACATATATGCCTATTCAGGTTTCCCAAAAACTGCATTTGTTGTTTTCTGATTGTTTTTAACCGTGATGGTCCCACGTGGGCTTCTTCAAATACTACCTCATTTGATTTATTTTCCTTCAACGATACTCTTATTAGTCTCCGAAGAAACCACATAATTTCTGTTGCTTCTATTTTATTTTCTCTGTCTTTAGTGATTGTCCAGCATTCACAGCCATATAGGCCTATAGAAGGGTTGACTATACATAGCATTTCAGAACTTTCGGCTCATTTTATTGAAATAGCCTTTAGCTATTGTAGTTCTCCGTTACTGAATACGAAATACAAATCAAGCACTTGTTGAGATAAAATTAAAAGTTGTATTTTTGTAGGGCCTGTCTAGGGATTCCGCTTACGCATCATACATTCTATAACAAGGATCGACCCTTCAGATGGCACTAAGCTGCAACGAAATAGATCTAGACTTCGATTACAACGAAGCGAAATGCACAGCGTGGCTTTGCCGACTTGACTGAGATCGAACACCTATGTGTTCCGCTTCCTTGCAGTGTAACAGAGAGGGGAGTGTACAGCTGTAAATTTAACAAGAAGGAAACACCTGGACGACATGAGATTCACCGATGGTGTGGCACTTTGCAATGAAAATTAACTACAAATGGAAAATTATTGAACAAAAGAAAAAGAAGTAACCCTTGAAATCCACAAAGATAATACCAAATACGTGACGAACTCCCCCAGTGACAGAATTATGATTGCTAGCCAAGGCTATATATATCTATATATAGAAAACAACAGCTTTGAGGGAAAAAAAAAAGAGAATGAATATATAAATATGTAGCACAAACCATAAACATGATGGTTGCAAAATAGGCCTACAGAGAAATAAGATTTTAAAAAATCTGCCGTTATCACCGAAAAGACAAGTCTTCAATCAATGCATCAATATTGTCCCAGCAATAAGAATATAGGCCTATATGGATGCCAAACCTGGCCAATAACCAGAGACATCATACATAAGAAACTAAGGACACCATAAAGAGCAATGGAAAGAAAGATAGGCCTACTGCGTATGAGAATACAAGACCAAATAAATCACACACAAAATACGAGAGAAAACAGGAGTGATAGATATCCCCTACTTTACACTACCACAAGAAATGGAAATGGGCTGATCCTAGGCCTTCTCAGTAATACGTGTTAGTATTTGACAAGGAGATTGGTATTTGAGCATCTGTCTATGGCCGCTTTTCGCATTTAATCGCCGCTTTACGCTTTAATCTTCGATAAGATAAAGACAGGCCTCGAGGCGAGCTTATCAAGATAAGCGTGCTAACAGGCCGGCCTCCAATACCGGAGCCAACCGTCCGAGATACAGGGTTTGGACTGAGAAGGCATAGGGCTGATCGCATCGGAAGAATTAATTAGGACAATAGATGGACCAAAAAAGAAAACTGTAGGCTACGGAATGGAGACCAAGAAGAAGAAAAAGATCTCTAGGTAGACCAGAAAGAAGATGGCAGGACGACATCAAAGTCAAAGAGAGGTATCGGGCGTACTACTGGGCATGTATTTAAACAGCTGATAAAGTAAAGCAGAATGGTCGAGGGTTTTGTTTGTTTGTTTGTTTGTTTGTTTGTCTGCTTTTCTGTTTGATGCCTTGGGAGGGGGGGGGGGGCATATCTGCAGTGGATGATTAATACCTAGACAGAAAGAAAGAATTTACATAAGTGTACAAATGTGCAAGAAACTTAAATTTTCTCAATCTATACCCATAGTAATATATTAATTCCTGTAATAATATAATCATTACAGGAATGGCACGGAACTGTGGTTATTTTCACAATGGGTTATTCAAACAATGTATAGAAACTAGAAAGCTTGCAGCCGAAAAATAAAACACACTGTATGATTCTGCAGTTCTTAAATTAAGTTACATTAATTTATGTCTTCTACAGGTTCTAGTTCATTTTTTCTACCCCATCCCTCCCCCTTCCCCCTTTCTTTTAATTATCGGACCCCTGGGTAATTATATATGTTAATTGCAATAGTCTAATATATTTTGTCCGTAAATTATCCTAACCGCAGTGTTTGGAGGCTATCACTGTCGATCCTACTCGTTGTTTGTCTGTCTGCCTGTCATTTTCCTTGTAGGCCTAGAAAATTACCATGCCGTGTCGATCTTTACTTTTCTTTTAAGTAAGGGGGGAGGAGGGGGGCTACACCCCCAAAGTCAAGATTCGGCTCAAAATTATGGAATTTGAGTTGTAGACATTTTTAGCTTCCTCAGCCTCTCCTACAACTATTGCATCGCCCCCTCAAACAGTATTTTTTCCCTTACCGGGCATGTTTGTCATCACCATTTCCTCATAAAGTCAATACATATATTTCATTTTTCTTTATCGGCCGTTTTCTCAAAAGGCGACTTCCCTCCATACTTTTAAAAATAACTCCACCATTTTACATCCAATCTTCACGAAATTTTCACAGAATGAAGAGAAAATGTAACTAAAAATTTGTCAGTTTAATTTTTTTTATATGGACCAGATTTCTGTTGGTAGTGTCTGGAGTGTGGACTTTCACGGATTTTTTTCAAACTAGATCTAATTGATTAATGCTACCTCAGGAAAAAAAATCATTAAACATTTTCTAATTCGTTTAGGAAAAAAACAAGACACATTTTTGATCTAGATTTAGATCTAGATCTAGATCTAATGTTTGTTAACACGCGCGCAAACCCCCCCCCCCCCCAATCAATTTCCATTTATAAGCAATGCGGTATTCTTTACGTAATACATGTCAACAAAATCCAGCCGCCGTATCCATGGAAACGAAACTTTTTTTCTCAAATTTGATTGCGGATTTAAGACTCCTTACTATGCTTGTTATTTAAGTGTGAAATTTGTTTCTTTTTCTTTCTTTTTTTTTTTTTTTTGGGGGGGGGGGGGGGGGGGGTATTTTGGACGACTTGAACCAGATACTACATGTACTTCTAGATTAGGTTTTTGTTTTACTCGATGGTCCTGGAATGCGAGCGCATCAGTGAAGAATTGTATCGTTTCCGTGAAATTTCCGTCGTACTTTTTATGTTAACACGTACACAGTAACATGTAAACAAAAAGGACTTGATGCTGCTTTTGTCAGTGACAAGCGTTGCAGCTTTGGCATATATATCCCGGTGCACCATGATTACTTTATCTTTAATATATTGATCACAACATTTTCTTTGTATATAGATCTAGATGGAAAATATTTACTGGCTTAAAGCCTATTTAAGAATACTATTTTATTTATAGATCATTCGTAATGCACGCACGTTTAACCATTCCAAAATTGTGTGTGTGCGTTTTAGTCGTGTTGGATTTGGGATTGCATGGCATTCCGCAATTAGTCGAAATGTCGTGTAGAGGGATTTTTTTAATTAAGCAGAGGTGATCGAATTAACTTCACTTTTGGTTCAGTCCAGTGTCAAGTATAGCCGGAACCGTTATATATCATTGCGGCATTGCCGCCAAGGATTTAGCTGGTTTTTATGGAAAGTTGCGTTTGTTGCAAAGAATTGTTAAAATAACTTACGAACAGATTGTCCAAAGGATACAGGAAACAACAAAATTGTTATTGAGTTGTGTTTCAAAATGACTAGAGAAAACAGTGGAAAGCCTATGCATCATGAGCCTTCTGAGGCAGAGAAAGAAGAGTCCATGAAGAGACTAGGCAAACGACTGACGTATATTTTGCGCTATGGAGCTTTAAAGGAAGGGTTGGAAGTTAATGAAAATGGTAGGTATATATCATTATTTTAAATAATTTTTTCCTGTAACTCTATTGTTGCATAATAAAAAAAAATTAAATTGTAATGCTTAAATTTAATCATTTAAGGTACACCTTACAGATTGTCTTTTAACATTGCTTTGTTTAAAATAGTTTATAACCTATTTGATAGATATTACAAAATAGACGGCTTAGCGCAAGAAGGGACTATATCCACTTACACATTTTTGAGAATTTAATTAAGAGTTTTAAATTTTGAGAATATTGAAATTGCAATAATAATAATAATAAATAGCATTTATACTGCGCATTTCTATTTCCTAAAAGATGCTCAATGCGCATTACAACGAAAAAGACATCACATCTTAAAAATTAATCGACAAGTGTGTTCGTAAAACAAAGTATTATACATATAATATAAATGCATATGTGTAAAATTTTATATTAGAAAAACAGTCTCGCAGTGAGGTTGAAGATGTGTTCACTAAAAATATACAATGCAATAAAAATTCACGAACGGTCACAATAAAGTTGAATAATTAAAAGCAATAATTAACATGTAGTAAAAAAAACATTACAGCTTAGATATTTACAGAAAAGAGTGGCTTAAAATATTACTCCTCATATCGATTACTCCATTTCGACCAAAAGTGGATATATAGTCATTCTTTTTCTCCGCCATCGATAGCTTAAATTGAAGCCCATAGTCTGCAATATCTTTATAATTATGGCCTTAATTGCTGTTGATTTTTAAAATTACATAGATATAATTAAAGTATATCTACATTAAAACTACATAAATATAATTGAATATATCTACATGACTCTAAAGGTCTGTAGTAAATTTAAATTCCTGCATCTCAATGAAAGATGAATTCTGACGTGAATATGTTGTTTTATTGTCAATTTTATTTTTCTCTTCTTATTCAATTTTTTCAAGAGCAATAATATATAATTTAAATTCGGTGTATATATCTACATGTGGTTTTTTTACCATTTCTGAACAGCCAAGAAAAATTTCCCACTGGGACAAAAATCATAATCTTATTTTATCTCATCCCATCCCATCCCTTCCCATCCCATCCCATCCCATCTCATGTCATCTCATCTTATCTTACCTTATCTTATCTTCTTCCTTGACAAATAATTCTTCACTTGATCTTTGCCTCATAAGTTACATTAGGCCTATACAGTAAGTCAGAATCAAGAGTTTTAAAGTTTTAAACATTTTTGCTTTCATAATTTGTTCCAACTTATAAGAATATAAAATACATATATATGTGTCTAAAAATATATTTCCAGGCTATGTAAAGCTTGAGGATCTTCCAACTTTGGGTCTACTCAAATATTACACGAGTGATGAATTACTGGAACACGTAAAGAGTTCTGTGTCCTCCAGAGGTGGCCAACGTTTTGACTGGAGAGAGCAGAATGGAACTGTGTTCGTGAGAGCTGCTTACCTGAGAAACTTTGAAAAGGTAGGTTAGCTAGGTCACAGATTGCTGCTTTATCAAGATTTAAAAACCAAGACTTAAATGGTTTGTCATGGGATGGTTGGTTTGTTTTACTAATCAGAACATTTCTGAGAGGCTGAAAGAGTTCCTAGTGTCTATATAGACTTTAAAAACATTTTTCAACTGTAGCTGTTCAATGTTTGTTCTTTGTTAGAGGCTTTGGGTTGGGCACATTAATTTTACCTTTCCAGTTATAATTTTTTTTGGTGATGAAACAGTTAAACCTTTCATTAAATTTTATTTGTTTACTCAGTTGCTTTCGTGAATTCAGGTGCGGAAAATGACATTATAATTTTTTTCATGCTGCTATAAGTCTGAGATTGAGAACTTAATGCTTATAAATGTACATCAGTAGTATTAAAAGTGGACTTAGGATGCAGAATATTTCCAAATGCTTTGGTGTGACGTTTTAAATCTATATTTTCAGTACCCATGGAGATTTTGAGTGATCAAGGGGCATAAGTAAAAAATTATATAGGAATTTTTATTTTATTATAGGTATTTCTATACTCACCAATACATCTTAATCAGACTCTCTGTTAGTTTCCTGGAAATGGTGTTTAGACATTATTGATTACATGTGTTTTGAACATAACTGGATTGAGGGTAGGCAGTACGTGTACAGTAAGGAGTGTAATTTTTCTTTTTTTCAGAGCCCATATCATCCTGGCACAAAAGTTTTTACTCTTGGAGAGAGCTGCATGACATATGTTCTGAAACACCTTGATGACTATGATTTAGAAGACTTTCCTGATGAAACCATAATACGGTACGGTATGATATAAGGAGATCACTTTGGCATTTCTTTTTTATTTTCTTTTTGGTGTCATTGTTGGAACTGAAATAAACACATTAGATCATTTTCGTCCCTCTTGTTCTTTACTCAGAGAGGGGGGAAAAAAGGCTTAAAAAAGCTGTTGCAAAGGAGCTGAAATTGCTGCTTTATATTGTGTATTCATCTGTGATTTGAGATTGTACTGTTTACTTGCATGTTTTATGTTTCTAGCATCGTCTTATTTTTTTTCAGAATTATTACATTAACATAATTTGGTTTTGTCATTTGCTTCTAATACAAAGAATTTAGAAATCGGCTGACTTGAAATGTCCTCATCATTCATATTGCAAATATAATGCAAAGAACTTTTTTTTTTGGTCTGGTATGATGTCTGTTGAATACCTCAATCCCAAAATTCTAAAGTTTTAAGAATGACATACTTTCAAGTCCAGGAAAGATTCTTTTGAAGAATGAAACGGTTTCTTTGTTTTTCATTTAAATGTACCTGGCTTTGTGCTTAATGCAGACTTAATGTCACTTCAGGAATATATACAGAGGTTTTGATACATCAAAAATATTTAGTTCCAGTATTTTTAAAAACAGTCTTCTTTACCATTCCACAGATTGATGATCCGTCGTTTGAAACGTCAGAAAAAGCTCAACAGTGCAGCGTTGACTGCACTACTCGTTCCAACTCTTACACGACTAGACATGGAAGATGTGTACCTGACCAATAAAACACTGCGTACACTTTGGACACAGTGTCCCAATCTTGTTGCCATCAGTTTTAGAAACTGTGGCTATATCATCACCGACAGTGTTCTTGCTCAGTTGGCCAAGGTAAGATGCCTCAGAAATCAAGATAAAGTCTAGCTTGCACAAAGTGAACCCATATATATATATATATATATATATCTACATAATGAAACATGAACATAGAGAAACACGCACATACCAAATAAATTTGCTGGTCCCTAATTTTTTCTTATATATAGAGACTTCAACATAAGTTAAGGACCACTTGCAAACACTCTGAGTGGTCTTCTTGGGACGTCCTGCACGTGGGCGTTCTTGGATTGATCCAGTAGCTTGATGGCACTGCTTCAAGTGGACAATGACAGAGTGTGACACTGCAAGCCTTCTGGCGACTTCTGGGGCTCCAACTCCATCCTGCAGCCATGCCTTAGCTCTTGCACGATCAAAGTCTCTCAGCTTTCGTCTTGGTGGCATGTTAATGCGATACTGGATTTTGCGCAAACGGCAGCTTATATTGCCACCAAAGTGAACACAGTTCAAGACCATATGTCCGTTTATCACATGTGGTGTTGCACTACACAAGTCGATAAAAAACAGCAAATTTGGCTAAATTTCTCCGAGGATTTCCGTGCTGCACGTGGTGGTTTTGCCCCTTTAGGAAACTTTGCAGTACGCATTGGTAACCCATTAACACTTTCAGAGCAAACAATTTTGAAACATTCCTTGCTGTCTTTTTTTGGATAAAAAAAAAATCAGGGCTGTGTGTCAAAGTGGTCCTTAATTTATGTTGAAATCTGTACATTAAATATATTTTTTAAAATTTAAAATAGGCTACATACTTGGAAAATTCATATATAACAAAAACATATCTCTATGTAGCGTCAATTTGGAAATATGTGTGCTAACCTGCAGTTTTTAGAATAATTCTATATTTATGTAACTTCAGAATTGTTCTAATTTCATTTTTTTGCCTCCTTTGACAGAGAAGGTTTTATCCTATTGCATACATGTTAATTATGGTATGTTTGCTATAGAGAAATGCTATTAATGTCACAGGATAAAAAAAACAAAAATGCAAAGCTGCTGAGTAAAGTGAAAATAAATACCAGTGTTCTCCTGAAATAATTTTTTTTTAAAAGATAAATTTATGTATTCACTTGCTTTGAAGAATTCATTTTGTAATTTGAATATTATTGGTTTTTATGCTCTTTTGGTAACATATTGTCACATCAAACATCAGTAAAAACTGTTCCTCAGTATCCCTTAGAAATATAATACAGCGGGAATAGAATGACAGTGGCTATTCACCTGACCTTTTCTTTTTATAGATTGTCTTTTAAGACTGTATTTCAGTGGTTTTTCAATCAATGCCTTTCCACTGTTTATCGGTAGGCCTATCCTAGAGATTTTTTGTTGAGTACAATTAGTGGTATCATGATGTTAGAAGTCTTCAATCTTTTTATCTCTCCTAATTCTTGTTTCAAATTTGCATTGATTATGAACAGCTGATGGTATGAAAACACGTCTAGTTGAAAAATAAACCATATGTGCATATTGTTTTTGAAAACTCCGTAATGAGTATTATTGTCTAACGATAACTTTCTTGATTTTTGTTTTTTGTTCTTTTTCCAGAATCTTCCTAATCTTCAGAGGCTCAACTTAAGTGGCTGCGATCACTTGAGCAGCAACTGCTTATCTATGTTATCCAAGAGACTCCCTCACCTGCATTTCCTCAACATTTCAACAGGACCCAGACTGACATATGAAGCTGTTCTCTCTTTCATCAAGTCTGCGAAAGAAATGACATTTCTTGATGTTTATTACCTCAGGACAACTCCGGAGGAAAACAGGACTTTAGTTGAACTTGCCAAAGAAAAGGGTGTGGAGTTGATTTTGCGGGGACCGAAGCCAGGACAAGATGGAGGAAAGGAGAGTGGACAAAGTATAGATGATTCTGCTCAGAGCAACAGTGACATAGAGAATAGTGGTGATGAAGACGATGAGGATTTTGATAATGATCTGTAGAGAAAGCTGAAGCTGTGATTCTTCTACCATGGGCATTAATTGTTGTTAACGAGATGTTAGTGTCCAGTGATAACACTTTTGGACTCGCAACCATAAAGTCTTTTGCAGTCTGTTGCCAGGTATCCATAACCTCCATTACGAGAAAAATTCATGTAATGTGCCTCTCCGAAGGACACATGGTTGAGCCCCATTATATGAGGATCAAACCCACAACTTTTCGGCTGCAAGCTGAACAGTTTAACCGTTTGACAACTGATGCAGAAACACTGCTGTTGTGCCAGCTTACCACAAACTGTCTCAACTCTGTTGTTCCTCTTTTTGTGAATTTCCATTTAGCTTTGTCTGGTCAGCTCTTTTGAATTTTGAAGGGATAGATGGGGTGGTTGGTGGGTGCTCTGGTGTAGTTTGCTCCTTCTTTCCTATCAAACATCTATTGTTCTTATCTCTCCTTTTTTATGTTTGTTACTCTCTAGTAACACCTCTAAATTCAGCACTTATGCACAACCTAATTGAGTTGCTAGTGTTGTAAAACTTTAAAACAAAACAAAGGCAAAGCATTGCAATATACGTTCACTTCATCTAATATGGTGCCATCTCTGACCTGAGTTCATGACCTTTGACAGGCTGAAATAACTGACGGTGATTCATTCTAAACCGTATTGGAGGTTTCCAGTGAGTAGCAGAGGATGAGAAGAAATTGCTGTACTTGTCTTTCAAGTTCCACGTCCCCATCAACACAATCTCAGCTATTTAAGTTACGACCTGCTTCAACCCAGCCTGTCAAGGCCAATTTAGTGTGGAGAAAGAGGGAAATACTATATATCGTCACTGCCCTAGCAATTGAATGGCACATCTCATTTTTGCTACTTTAGTGATAAAAATGAAAAAAAAAATTTGTTCAGTTAGACTATTTATCATTTTATAATGGTAAAACATGCCATGAATGTTTCTTTTTTGACTGCCAGCACATGTTTTGTTTGATTTCATCAATATAATCCTTGAATGAGAATGGAACTTGTAGCTTTCGTTTTCTCATCGAAGAACCCAAAAGTTCCACCCCAAATGTTGTGTAGTTGTCTGTCAAATTCCTCCATAATATGAACTTAACTGAGATTCTTCGTGGAGAGTAACTTTTTCAGACAGTATCTACTGTCAATATGTGTGACAAGGCTCACATTTCAGTATTACTGTGTAGTGCTTTGCTTTGTATATGTGGGTTTGTGTTGTGTGTGTGTGTGGTGTATGTGCATGTATGCATGTGTGTGTGTTTGTGAGTGGGTGTGCGTGCGTGCGCATGTGTGCATGTTCGTGTTTGTGTGAGTGTGTATGTGTGTGTGTGTGTGTGTGTGTGTGTGTGTATGTGTGGTGTATGTGTATGTATGCATGTGTGTGTTTGTGTGTGTGTGTGTTTGTGAGTGGGTGCTTGTATGCCTGTGTGTGTGTGTGTGTGT